CTTAGCACATTGTTGGGCAGAGTAAGTTCTTTGAAAGGATAGCTTATTCTTTTTATTAGCTACCGACAATTTTCCTTAGATTTTGATGGCAACATGGACATAGAAAACATTTTACTTGTGTCTCCACTGTATTATAAGACCAAAGAAAGACATGTTCCAAGACAAATGGCAAAGGCCCAGCACAAAAGCCTTGGGATTGGGTGCTGAGGACTGGTGGGGTCTGGGGCATACTGAAAAGCAGTCCTGTAGCAGGAGGCAGCTGCACTCCATCCCATCTGATAGCTATCTGAAGGGATCGTGGGCCTGGCTTGGCCAACGTTTCCGTTAAAGAAAAAAACCCCGACATGTAGAATTTTAAAATGCTGGCATCTAATTCAAAATTTTAAAAAGAAAACCTGTGAGCCAAGCAAAGCTTGTCTGTGGCTGAATGTGGCCTGTAGATCCCTGGCTCAGGATCCCCGATTTAAAAAAGAATAGGAAAACACATACAAAGAAAATAGAGTAATAGTCCCAGTCTGTCTAATAATGTAGACCCAGATTAGATATGGAATTATACATAAATGTACCTATAACATAGGTCCAGAGGCTAGAGCAATCATCCTGCACAATATGAGAAAATAACACTAAAAGAGATACACAAAGTGGCCAGATTCAATCAGCTACAGAATTCAGAGGCAAGACAGCTTTTCCTCAATTGGTGATTGGTGAATGACATTTCCTGATGGAAAAATGAAGGCAAGGTCTGAGATTGGGTGAGGGGATGGATTCAGGGCAGAAGACAAGGGCTCTGAATATTTTTATTTTATTTTTGAGACGGGGTCTTGGTCTGTAGCCCAGGCTGGAGTGCAGTGGCATGATCATGGCTCACTGCAGCCTCCGCATCCTGGGCTCAAGTGATCCTGAGTAGCTAGAACTATAGACAGACACCACCACACCTGGCTAATTGTTGTATTTTTTTGTAGAGATAGGGTTTTACCATGTAGCCCAGGCTGGTCTTGAATTCCTGGGCTCAAGTGATCTGTCTACCTGAGTGGACCAAAGTGCTGGGATTACAGGTGTGAGCTCAGCCAACTTGATTATTCTTTACTTTTTTTGGGCCAATCTAGCTATAGAACAAGGAGAAGCGCCTTTAGAACCAGAGTCACCTGGAAACACAGCCCCAGCCCTTGCTTGTCAACAAGAAATACCACCACTCATCTTTAAACCTCTCCCAGCCCCGAAAGATGAGTGGTGGTATTTCTTGTTGACAGATGGGGAAGTGAGAGTGGAGGGAATAACCTGTCCAGAACCACTCAGCCAGGGGGACTAAGAGAGGGACAGCTTTGAGACTGGAACCTGGTCTGCCTCACAATGGGGCCATCAGGAAGCCCTTTTCCTAGAGGGCTGCCACTCCCTTGAAAGAGTCTGCTAGCAGCTGGGAATGGGTGGTTTTGAGCAAATATTCTAATTTATATGGAGAATCACCGGGTTAACATGACATGGATTATTCACTTGCCAACAATAAAACATGCTTAAGGTTAAGATGAAGCCAGTTTGTTATATCTTTGATGATTCAGAAGATATCTCAATTTTTCAGAGCCTGGTATAAATTGGGGGCATAACAATGTAGCTATGCAGTAATACCAGTCAAGAGACAGCCCAGATTTTTTTTAGGAAGCTTAAAAAAAAAAAAAAAAAAGGCTGGGAACGGTGACTCATGCCTGTAAACCCAGCATTTTGGGAGGCCAAGGTGGGCAGATCACTTGAGGTCAGGAGTTCTAGACCAGCCTGGGCAATATGGTGAAACCCCATCTCTACTAAAAATACAAATATTAGCCAGGCATAATGGTAAACACCTGTAATCCCAGCTACTCCAGAGGATGAGGCAGGAGAATTGCTTGAACCTGAGAGGCAGAGGTTGCAGTGACCCAAGATCTCACCACTTCACTCCAGCCTGGGCAAAAAGAGTGAAACTCTCTCTAAAAAAAAAAAAAATCTGGAAAACAGAAACAATCCAAAGAAAACACTTTTCATAAAGGAACGTCTGGACATATTGACTAAAAAAACACAAAATTAAATGAGATTATAAAAGGAAGAAAAATAATTTTTTTTAAAGAAATGCTTATGCAACTTGCCCAGTGCACATTAGGGGATCATAGTCCTTAACAGGCTTGTTTTTGTTAGCTGCTGTCCACCTTTTTGGGAAGTGGAACTGAACAATGATGGAGCTGGATCTGGTCTGAGGTGGTAGGATATCACAAGGGTGCAAAGACATTATAGTATTCCCTTCCTGGAAACATCCAAGGGTTTAGCATCCCCTTATTAAATAAGACATACGACAACAATGATAAGCAGTACTTTCACAATCACTTTACCAAAGAGAACGATAATACACACATCAGTCATGCTAACAGCAGAGGAGGGGAGTGACCAGTGTATCTGCACGGTCTCCCAAAGGGGGAAAAATCACCTGTGCTCCCATCTTCCTACGCTGTTGTTAGACAGCCAATGGTGGCTCCACAGTGCTACGGAACTGTACATCTTAGGAAATCAGTCAGAAATTACTCGCATGCACTTTGGAGAAGGGACACTGAATAAATTCTTGTGAGAACTTGTGAGTTTTTTCGTTTGTTTTTGAGATAGGTTCTCACTCTGTTGCCCAGGCTGAAGTGCAGTAATGCATTCTCAGCTCATTGCAGCCTTGACCTCCAGGAGCTCAAGCAATCCTCCCACCTCAGCCTCCCAAGTAGCCGGGACTACAAGCATGCACCACCATGCCTGGGTCATTTTTTGTTTATTTCTTTTTGTAGAGACCAAGTCTCACCATGTTGCCCAGGCTGGTCTCAAACTGCTGAGTTCAAGTATCCACCTGCCTTGGCCTCCCAAAGTGCAGGGATTACAGGCCTGAGTCACTTTACCCAGCCTCCACTGAGAACTTTCTTATAAGAAAATATCACCTAGTTTTTAGGAATTGACAAAACAAGGGGAAAAAGTGCCTATAAATCTCCAGAGTACCTACTCTGTGCCAGACACAGCCCAGGGTGCTGTGGCCCTGGAGGGTTCTAGTCTAATATTTCACAGGAAAAAAAATGACCTTGGTATTTCTGCTTCATAGACATGCCCTGTAGCTCACTAAACCAAGCCAGTGGTCAGGGTCAAAGAAAGAGATCTGATAACTGCTACAAATCACGTATTCCAGACCTCTCTCCCTTTTCCTCTTCACCACTGGAAAACTAGACCAATAAGCAATGCAAAAGGACTTAGGAAAAAGGAGAAGAAATGGTCATGACCTGTTAATAAAACTGAATTTTTCGATCACATAAAACCTGCTTTCAGCTTGCCAGGTGAGTTAATATTCTTACTCCTTCAGTATAAACACTGTTCCTACACATTGCATGCGAGGAACTGGTGTTCCCAGTTATGACTGAGTTCGTTTAGAAGCTTATCAGCATCATAAACAGATACTTCTTACATAGCCATGGACACCTTAGCTCTGAATAGACCATACAGATAACAGATCAGGCAGATGACTACACTGCTTAACTATCAAACCTAAGCAACCAAGACCCAGATTAGAGCATTTTCCACTGCATAGAACTGGAGAGGAAAGCCAAAGCCACATACCTATTGCTTTTTCTCTCTTCTGCAAGATTTCCTGTATAACCAGAGGTCTGGTAAATTGGGCTTATGTTGGGCCTCGTAGAAATCGTGCTAATAGGGAATCTGAAATACATTTGCAAAATGAGGACCGATACAAGGCCTGGGATCCTCTCCCTACACCAGAGCAAAGGATAATGTGGAATGAAGCTATGGAAGCAGGTGAATTTCACATTCTTAATTTAAACAAGAAAAAAAAAAGGTGGATATTGACCACCTTTAGCTCAGTAAAAGCATCACCTGGTATGAATGTCCTCATTTGCTCTACCATAAAATCACCTGAGGCACTTGTTAAAAAAGAAAGGTTCCTAAGACTTGCATTTAATAGTTCTGATGTCATCCAGGTGGGTTACAAATGAAAAATGCCATGGATTTATAAAAAGGAAAACTATAGTGATCTAACAAAGCGAAAGAAGTGTTTCTGGTAAGTTCCCTGGGTTTTGTAGCAGTAGGTATTTCAGTGGCAATGTTTGCACCAATTCACCAACCAGTCCTGAAGCAGCGAACTCAAAAATCGCAATTTTTTAATTAAATGACCTCCCCAAACACCCTCAATCTCTCGCCCTCCTCCTTTTTTTGGTGGAGGGGCTTTTGGTGAAGGATTCTTGCTTTTTTTTTTTTTTCTGTATCTCATGAGTCTACAGAACTCACAGACTGGATACCTTTTGTTTTAAACACTTGACTGAATCCATCAGCTTTCGGAAGAGACAATTTCTTTCCAAATCCTTCTGAAGATATAAAATTATTCCTTATTGAAAAGGACTGTGACCTCAAAAGGAGGTTGTCAAGTCACCCACGTTTCCTTACAACTCCAAGAAGGATTAACAGAAAAAAACCCAAATGCTTTGAATGCTTACAACTTGACTGGTGAATTAATTATATGTCATTCAGGGACATTCAAAGCAACATAAACTATGTAAACCACTTTCCTAACCGGTCAAAACACAAATATTAAATACATGTATGTCAGGGGGAGAGGAAAACTGATAGTTTCATGACTGTGACCTCAACCAACATCTGTAAACTACATCTTTTTTCTCCCTAGAGAATGAAAGCTGATCTATTTACTCCTGGTAGAGAAGAAAGAAGGACGGATGTCCAGGTGCTACCAGAAAACCATTCGTGAGGACATGGACCAGTGCCAAGGTCACAGCCCACCTGAATAGAACTTGAAATCCAGGCACACCCAGTCCAGGGGAGCCCTGGGTTCTTGCTGAACTTAAAACACCGGGGTTTAAAAAAAAAAAAAAGAAAAAAGTTTCACAGACACAGGTGTGGGGAGGCCTGTGCCCTGCCCGCTGCTAGGTAGACACGCGAGGACAGCCTCAAAACAACTCCAGACGCTTCCGGTGCGTGAACCTCACTCGGCGGGGGCGGCGCAGACGTCCACGTGCGGCACGGGAGCTGCGGAGGTGCTGGAGCCCGCGCTTTTGCCCGTACGTCCCCGACCCCCTCACTGCCGTTCGGGGCTCCGGGTTCCCCCTATGCAAAAGGGGGACCGTGCTATGTCATCAAGGACAGATGCGAAGAAGACCCCAGAAGGCGGCGTCAATAAGTAACGAAAGAGTAAGGTCGGCTGCGCCTGTTACCGACGCTACCGAAGCAATTACTGCAACCGAGGCTCCAGAATGAGAGCGCCGGAAATGCAAACTTTCCAGGGGACCAAATTCATCCAAGCCCCCTAAGGAGACCGAGGAGACCTCTGCCCGCGCTGGGCCCCGCCGCCGACTCAGGTCCGCGCCACCTTTCCCGCGGCGGGCGCCAGGCGGGGCGGGGCAGCGGCGGCGCGGGCCGGGCGGCGGGGAAGGGCGGGAGCGCGGGCGCACCCGCGGGCCACTGCCCCAAACGGTTGCGCTGGGCTCGCGGCGCGGGACCCCGAGCACCGCAGCCTCCGCCACCGCGAGAGCCACTTCACCTCGGTCGTCGGGGCTCCCTGGGCAGCCGAGCCCCGCCGCGCTAGCTCCGGGCGGGCTCACCCTCCGCGCGGGACAGGGGGGTGCGGCGCGCAGTCCCGGCGCTCTCCTCGCCTCGCCGCCGCGCTCGGCCCGGGCCCCCCCCTCGTGGCGCCGGCAGGTGGAGGCGCCCCGTGCCCCGCTCCGCAGCCCCCTCCCGCCGCGCGCCAGCCCGCGCGGGCGCAACTTTCTTAAAGGGACAGGTAGCCCGAATCCGCGTCCACCTGGGGCCCCGTCTCTGCCTCCAGGCTGGTCCCGCGCTTTGGGGGAGAAAGGGGGCTGCCACAGATCTCTCCGCCCGCCCGCCCGCCTCGTTTGTCCCAGGCCAGGGACAGATTACAAGTTTTAATACACCCAGTCTCCTTTTGCAAACTTAATTCCCTTGGCCGAAATCACCCTCCCGCTGCTCCTCAACGCATGCTCGCGGGCGTGCAGTTGTTACTGTTGGCAAAGTTTGAAGAGGGGTGTCCCTACCGCTTAACTCCTCTGGCCCATCCCCCTCACACACACACCCAGAACCCCGGAGCGTGGAAGGCTCGCGGCTGCTGGGAAACACCCGCTGCAATCCCCTTGACCCTGCCCTGTAACTGACCCTTGGGGAAAAGCCCCCCGCACTGCTACTGCGCATGCTCTGAGCTGGACAGCTCCAGAGAGGGAAATTTAAAAACGGTTCGAGCTGCGACGGCGGCCAAATTGCGGAACGCGAGGGGCGAGCGCGAGGGAGCCCCCCTCCGGAACCCCTGCCCGCCCCAGGAGCGCCGGCAGCGGCGGCCCCGCGAGGATCGGCTTCAGGTACCGCCTTGCAGGGTCGGCTTTGCTCCCTCCTCCCGGGCAGTGCCGGGTATTGCATTTCGAGGATAGAAACCCAGGCTCGGGCTACGGGGCCGCCTCCCTCTGCTTCCTTTTCCTCCTTCCTGGGAATCCCTCGATGGCTTTAGGGGCGGAACTGAGAGCCTTTGGTGGGCTTTTATGTTGGTTCAGGCTTGGAGTTTGAGAAACTTAGGGAACTCAAAGATTTTTATTTTTTAAGGGAGTGTTTGTGTGTTGCGGGGGTGGGGGCAGTTGGATTGGTTTTCCAGTAAGGGCTTGTGGCATTTCTGAAGGCATTTCCAGGGCGGGAGCTTTCGGGGATTATTCCCTTTGCAAGCGGGAATTTGTTCCCCCAGAGAAACCATACATGTCACATCCAGCTGCCCCTTATTTTCAAAGTGATCATAACCAAACTGAGGTTGAAAATATAAGGCTTGGAAGGAAATCGGTTTTTCTGATTCCTGTTTTGTGAGTTTACATTTTTCACGGTTTGACATTTGGATTCTAGAGGCTTCCCCTGCCTTTCCCCCATTAATTCGAAAGAACCTGGAATTTCTTTTCATTCTCTTCATTTGCTTCTAAGAGCCTGTAGAATTGCCCTGGGAAAGTGACCTGAGATGCCCAGGAATCCTCTAGAACTTTTTTCCTTTAAAGAAAACAAAAAAGTGTTCTGTGAGTTCCATCTTTCTGAATTGTGGGAAAATTGTGGGTTTCTGCCCTGTCCATATCGTCGCTGATGGGAGCTTTGTTTTCTGCTTGTCTTTTCCTAAGGAGATGATAGAAAGTGACATCTCATCTATAATGTCAGGAATTATTCGAAACTCAGGGCAAAATCACCACCCCTCTCCACAGGAATACAGGTGAGGGATCCAACAATAACAAACGATCTATTTTTGAATTGCTGAAAGTGTGTATATGCTGTCTATGGTTTCTGAAACTCCCCAAGAACTATTGCTATGTTCAATTCTGTGATTTTTGCAGGAGAGCTGGAAGGTCTTGATTTCAAAGTTGGTCTTGCTAAGGGTGTCTGGGCCACAGTCTGGCCCAGTGGGACCACAAAATGTCTGCTGTCTCCTGTCCCCTCCAAAAGAGGTCCCTTTCTGCATTTGGCACTTGATACTGTTTGGGCATCCTGGTGAATGTTAAGATGAAAACAGCAGCTACTGCTTCCCCTCCGGTAGCCTTAATGGAGGCTCTAGGAAATGCTTCCCCCCATCCCCTCCAAAAAAAACCTTCTGGGAGTACTTGGCTTATACCCTCCATGGTTGTTAAGAAAGTAGTCAGATCCGCTGTGTTCTCAGCCAGGCCGTGTGACATTCAGTAAATCCTTTGCCCTGGGCCTTACTTCCTCATTCTTTAAATGATCCTGTTGAATTGGATGATCTTGAGGTTTCTTCTAGGCCTCCTGTGTTTGAAGAGTAAATTAGATGGAAACTGAGGCCAAAATAAATTATTTCTTGAAACAGGGTGAAGCAAGGTACCAGTGAGAGGATGCATGGGAAGCCTTCAGAGCCCTTCTCTTTTTTTTTTTTTTTTTTTTTGTCTTCAAACCTCATAGCTGAAAAGGCCTTTAGGGGTCCACCAGTCTGTGCATTGCCTCTTTTTTTAATAGTTGGGGAAACTCAGGCTAAGAAAGGAGAAAGGGCTTGTCCACAGTCCCCAGGAGGGAAAAGGAGGAAAAGGAAGGACCTAGAGTCCCCTCATAGCTTCTCTCCCCTTAAGGCCAGGGAGGCCTGACCTGGTTTCCAGGGCTCCCCTGACAAAGCAAGCAACGTGTCTGTAGGTTGAGGGGGCACCGTCCAGATTATGGAATGGGGACAGGACCAGGGCTGGCCTGGGAAGAGCCGGCTGTCACCTCCGATCAGTCCTGTTTACCCAGGGGTTGTCTGGCCCCCCGGGGTCACTGCAACTCACCAGCAGTGCCTGCTGGGGCAGACCACAGCTCCCAATTAGAGGGAGGCTGCTTCCTGAGGGCTGTGGGCCTGGAGGCTGCCTTCTGAGATCCAAATGAGGACACAGATTCAAACAGATATTTGCAGAGAGCCTGCTATGTGCAGAGCTGGGGCCAGGTACGTGGAGGTTTGCAAGCACCTAATGTGCGCCATCCCCCATCACTCACCTCATCTCGGGAGGCTGCTCTGATGAATCCTGTTGTACAGGTGAGGAAATTGAGGCTTGGAAAAATGGCTTCTCCGAAGACCACACAGCCAAGGGCCTCTAGGCTTCCTTCCACACTCACAGGGTTTAAATATTGCCAGGTGAGTTAGTGGCAGTGTAAGGGTTAACAGTTTAGGCTCTCAAGTCCATTCTAATCCAAACTTCTCTGCCTGTGTGGAGCTCTCTGAGCCTCAGCTTCTTCATCTGTAGAATGGGGATAGAAATAGCACCTACTGCCTGGAATTGTTATGACAATTTAGTAATCATTTCTGGCTCTCCTTTTCACCAATTATGGGCAAATTCACCTGTGAACTTCCATAGTTTTGTACAGCGGGGTTACTAAAAGCTACCTCTGGAGGGTTAAATGAGGTATGTGCTATATTATCTACGAAGGCACCTGACACCCACCAAGCACTGAACGTATCCAAGGTGGATCTACCTCTGCCCTCCTAGCTGCAAGCCTGGGCGAGCTCATCCTTCCTCCAGGCTGGCTTTAAGAGCTCAAAGACATTGAATCTTACTGTTGCCTAAAAGCACCCCTTAAAAATACAGGAGATAGGGGAGTCAGAGAGTCAGAACAATTGCTAGGACTCAGACACGTGCAGGTTCAAAGCCCAGCTTTAGGCAGGACTTGTGACTTGCTTCTGTTTCTCATCTTTAAAATGGGCATAATCAGGGTTCTTCCCTCATGCAGTTGCTGGGAAGATTAAGTAAATAAACTTGTAAAGCAAGAGACACATAATTAGTAGTTGCTGTTGCTGTTACCACTTAGTTACATTAGAGAGTACGGCTTCCTGCCAGAGATGCATCTATGGAGGGCTTTCATGGTGGAAAGTGGGGAGGAACTTAGAGGGAGGGAGAAACCCTGAATCCAGATGCCCAGATGCTGCCCAGGAGGGGTTCCCACCAGACTCAGCCCCGGATTCTTGGCCTGTGCATCTGGGCTACTCGGCTGACAAACTGTATGGGGCACTGAGCAGCTGCCCCTCTCCAAAAACAGGGCAGGGCAAGCAGAGAACTTCTTAGGGGCCTAGCAATCCCTAGGCAGTCTACTGCCCAGCTAGCAGGGGTCAGGGGTGGAGGAGTGGGGAGGAGAGGCAGGCCTGTTCCCATTAGCACAGGATCCAGAGGTGCCCAGGCTCCTGGTCTGGCACAAGCCTTTCCTATTCCTGTGGAGTCAGGGCTGGGTTTTTTTTGGTTTGTTTGTTTGTTTTTGTTTTTTGGTGAGACAGAGTCTCACCCTGTCGCCCAGGCTGGAATGCAGTGGTATGAAATCAGTTCACTGCAACCTCCACCTCCCAGGCTCAAGTGATTCTCCTGTCGCAGCCTCCTAAGTAGCTGGGATTATAGGTGAGAGCAACCACACCCGGCTAATTTTGTATTTTTAGTAGAGACAGGGTTTCAGTGTTGGCCAAGCTGGTCTCAAACTCCTGTCCGCAAGTGACCCGCTCGCCTCAGCCTCTTCCCAAAGTGCTGGAATTATAGGTGTGAACCACTGTGCCCAGCTGTGTTTTCTTATATCCAACAGCAAGAGTATCCAGAAAACAAAATAACATCATAATAACAATAATAATAGTAGCTAGTGGTTCCTTAACCCTTTACTGCCTGCCTGCCCTGTGCCAGGGTCTTGGCGTAAATCCCCATCAAATCCCCCAAACCACCCTATGAGGGTAGCACTCTTGTACCCATTTGGTGAACAAAGAAACCAAGGCTGTGCCTGTTTAAATGGCTCAACAAGATGCCACAGCTTGTGATGGATACAGTGGAGACTTGGCCCCAAATTTGTTGTACCTTGAGAGTATTCATAACCATCATTTGTGACCACTGGCCCCAAGTCCCACTGGCCATGAGCACAGGTGCTGGAACAGAATCAGCTGCTCCTCACCTCACCGCCTGGCCGAGCCATGCCTCTCTCTGAGCCTCAGGTTCTTCATCATGAAATGGGGCCACCAGAGACCCCAACGTGCAGGTTTGCTGGGAGGATTCTGCACCTTCAGTGGGTCAGGGCGTTCAGAGGGGCCTGGGAGAAAGTGTTTTCTTGTGGAGGGGAAGTTTTATGATTAGTGACTCCCTGCTTCCAACCACTCCCATTTTTCTCCCCAAATAATATCCCAGGAGAAGTTTATGGGCTTCTCATTTGCCCTCCCACATCTCCAGAGAAGGGCTCCAAGGACCATGCAGCCTGCTGCTCCAGCCTCTCGGGCAGCCGCCTGGCTTTCCATCCCCCTGGGGCTGAGTTTGGCCGTTAATTTTCAATGGTGTGTGCAGGAGAGCGGGGGTAGCAGCTAGAGGCGGCTGCCCTGTCCCTGGGGAGCTGTCAGGAGTCAGTGGCGGGGCCTAGACAGCAAATTGGCAGCAGCCTCTCAGCTCCGCTGCCGACGCAGGGGCAGGAGACCGGGGGTGGTCCTGACCTCTTGGGCAACGGTAAAAAGGCTCCATGCTCAATGTGGGTTAGCTGCGGTTCTCTCTAGCTTAAGAGGTGGAAGGAAAGTCCAACCTGAAAGGTGCTAAAACAGAGTTATTAAGTACCTAGTGTGTGCCAGGCACCGGCAAAACATCTTAGCAAGGGCAGAGTCTCATTTCATCTTTTTTTTTTTGAGACAGACTCTGGCTCTATAGTCCAGGCTGGAGTGCAGTCATGAGATCTCAGCTTACTACAACCTCTGCCTCCCAGGTTCAAGTGATTCTTCTGCCTCAGCCTCCTGAATAGCTGGGATTACAGATGCCCACCACCATGCCCAGCTAATTTTTGTATTTTTAGTAGAGACGGGGTTTCACCATGTTGTCCAGGCTGGTCTTGAACTCCTGACCTTAAGTGATCCGCCTGCCTCGGCCTCCCAAAGTGCTAGGATTACAGGTGTGCCATTTCTTTACAGTAACAACCATGAGACGGGTACTGACATTATCCCAATTTACAGATAAGGATACTGAGGCCAAAAGACATGACTTGCTCAAAGGTACACATTTATGAAGGGGCAGAACTGTACATTATTAGTCGCCTGCCCCCACCTTTTGGAATTTATTCTAGAGGTCAGGTCCAAAAAGCTCCTTTTACAGTTTGGGAAACTAAGGCCCAGAGAGATGATGGAAGGCAGGCTTCTGGCTTCTTGGACGCTCACCTTTTCCCAGGGCCACCAAGCTCAGTGGTCCTCCTTCAGGATCCTCATGCTGGATGTTCACTTCCCAAAATCTCAGCCCCTGCTCTAAGAAATGAGGCCACCTTGGGGGAAAGCCCTTCCGCTCTCTAGATGGTGGTTCTCTTATCTGTAAACTGCAATGCTGGGCACATGGTAGATAAAAATTAATACATATTTACTGGATAGATGGATGAGTGGACAAATATCACATGAAAATAACATATCCATGGAAACACAGGCTTCATGTTCAAGGGATGATACATTTCTCTTGAACCCACACTGTGTGTGGGGATAGTTTCCACCATGTGGCTTCACCCATCAGTTGTGATCTCCTTGGAAGGGGCCCCATTTCTCAAGGGCAGTAACCATCCGGATGCCTTCCCTTCCCTTCACCCTCAGGGTGGAGAAAACAGCTCCTCGGGTGACCTTATGGGCAAGGAAGATAAGTAGCCTCTCTTCAGTTCACAGTCCAGCTCTCTATCCAGGTCTTTCGGTTTCATCCCTAAAAAACGTGTGCATGTGCGCGCGCGCGCGCACACACACACACACACACACACACACACACA